CTCAACATTATTAATTAATTTGATCTAATTGACATTTGTAAAATATTCCACTCCACAGTAGCATAATCCTTATGCTTTTTAAGTGCACACAGAACATTTGTCAAATCTCATTTTCCTCAGGGCCATGAGATAGGTCATGGTAAGTTAGAAATCATTCAGACCACATAAACTATGCACTCCTATGTTAATGCAATTAAACTGGAAACAAATAAAAACATTAAAAATCTTTTGGAAAACACCCCCAAATTTGGAATTAAAATAAATCTTTTAAATAGCCTAAATAACTCTTTTAAATAACTTCTTTTAAGTAGCCTATGAAATCCCAGGGCAACTGGTAAATATTTTGAACTGAAAAACAATACAGCATATCACAGCATAATATATTGAAATAAAGCTAAAGTAATATTAATAATAAATATCAGAGTGGAAATCAATGAAATAAAAATAGAAAACCAATAAGGTCAATGAATCCAAAAGTTGACTCTTGGGAAAAATAGATAAACTTCAAGACATATTATTAATACTATGTCAATATTTGACAACATAGATGAAAAATATCATTCCTTAAAATACACAAGTGCTACAGACTACTCAAAAAGAAATAGACAACCTGAATAGTCTTACTGCTATATTTTACATTAAGTTATGTGCTTTCAAAGCTTCCCACAAAGAAAAGTCTAGCCTTAGATGGCTTTATTAGTAAATAGTATTCATCACTTAATGAAGAGATAATATCAATTTTGCATAAACAATTTAGAATATTTAAACTAATGGAAAGAGTACTTCCCAACTCATCATATATGACTGGAATTACCCTGATACTGTGACCAGAAAAAAAAGTTATGAATTAAAATGATTAACCCCCATATAGTAGCACCTTGTAAAAATGTTTCAAATTCTATCAAGAACATCCCATTCTTTAAAATAATTCAGGCAACTACCATTAAAAAATTTATACAAATTGTGTGTTAATTTCGAAACTATACAGAGATACATTTCATGAATTTAGAATTCTTGTAGAATTTGTAATGCAATTTTAACTAATTTTATTGTGGTAAAATTGATGTACTATGAAGTTTGACATTTGAACAATTTTTAAGTGTATGACTCAGGGTCATTCATTGCAGTCACAGTGCAATGCAACCAATATCTATTTCCAAAATTTTTCATCCCCTCAAACTGAAACTCTGTATGAACTAAGCAATAACTCACCATCCACAGAGTTCGTGGTAACCACCAACCGTTTTCCTATGAATTTTCCTATTTCAGACATTCACGTAAGTGGAACCGTACAGTCTGTCCCTGTGTCTGGCTTATGACTCTGGCCTAATGTTTTTAAGATTAATGTATTATGCATCAGAACTTCATTCCTTTTGGACTTAGATACACTTGAGATCAGTATCACAAGAAAAGACAAAAGTAGACGTGACATCTTAATACATGCGTTTTGACTCATCTACTGGGACGAAAAAACTTTGGATTTTGAACCCTCCTAAATGAACTTTAACATAGTTATTGAAATATCCAACAAACACCATTATTTTGGAGAGTCATGGCATTTCTAGACTTATTCTACCGTTCAACCTTGAAAATAAGAAGGAGGTGAGAGAGTTACTATAGAATTGAAGGGTTTGATAGAAATGGGTAAGACCAAGAATAGGGGGAAAGACTGATGTCCGAGGAATGGCAGAAGCATTGGAGATGTACAGGCAGGGCATGGTCCTGGCCTGTGAGTGTGGGAATCAAAGCAAGTTTTACATTTTTGATTTTTTTTGGTATTGGGAATCAGGTGCTGTGCCACTGAGCTAAATCCCCAGCCCCTACATTTTACATTTTATCACTGTCCTGTTCATCGATATGTTCCCAATCCTGATGTCCAAGTAGCTTTACTAGACTCTAATTGCTAACATACAAAACTTCTTTGATCACATTTTGATTGAGAGATTTTTTTTCAACAACTCCAGGTTTCCCTAGAAGCATCCAAATACCAGATGAAGCTCCTGGAGTAAAATTACTTCAGCAGTGGGACTTCCCGGGTGGGTCAGGGTGTCCTTTTAACCTTTTATTTTAATAATAATTTTAAAACGTAGATCTCCCAGCTAAGCGAGAACATAGAATCCCAATGGGAGGCCTGAAGAGAGCTGAAAACAGGACTCTGGCATAGAGGACTTGTTATTATTGGTTGGGAAAAGTGGAAATGACCAGGTTGTCCTCAGCTTTCTGATATCCTAGGGTCTGGCTCTGCATGGCACTTGTCACTCACAGAAGTGAAGAAAGGAGAAGAGTAATGCCCTTCTGGAGTTGGTACATAATCCTTTATTTAAAAAACAGTCACTGAGAGCTTAGAGCACCAAGAGAGGTGGTCTAGCAGGCAAACAACTTGCTCGAGAAAAGTGTACCCTTGACTCGTATTGAAATGAGATAGTCAGAAACAAGGTCTCCAGCAGGCACTGGATGTTAACTACACTCAGTTTTTCTGACATACACAGTAATAATCAGAAAAAAATTACCATACCTGTAGTTCTATAAAAGGTACTGGAAACTATTTTGGATATTGACACTTTCAAAACAATTTTTATTTAAAAAGACAATTTGTCAAGTTAAAGCACTCAAATAAATGGTAGATAGCAAACAAAATAGAGTAGTTTCTGGAGAAATCTTTTATTGAGACTGGAAGAGGTAGATTGTGGGACCATTCTTAGAACCTGTGCATAGCAAAAGTAAACTGGTGATAAAATTTTACATCTTAATCTGTACTATCATTCAAGATAATTTATACTAATAAAGTTTTATTGGAAACCCTTATCTACTTCTCAGTTTTCCATATCATCTTTCTTTTTTGTTGTTTTTTGAGACAGGGTTTCACTGTACAATTCAGGCTAGCCTTGAATTCTCTTTGTATCCCAGGCTGGCCTCGAACACAGAGAATCCTCCTGCCTCAGCCTCCAGAGTGCTGGGATTATAGAAAGAGGCCCGGCCTCGGGGCTGGGGATTTAGCTCAGCGGCAAAAGCGCCTGCCTGGCAAACGCATGGTCCTGAGTTTAGTTCCCGGTACCGGAGAAAAAAAAAAAAAAAAAAAAAAGAGGCCCGGCCTCTCTTGCTTTTTTTTCAAGTACGCTTACTTTGAAATCTTTCTATAAGTTTGTGACACTGGGCTTAATCAACCAATTGTTCCTAAATAATCTATCGCACATTTACTATTTCAATAGATTCCTCTCCTCTAGCAAGCAAATGAAATATTTTGAACATGGCAGTTCTCATCCCACTTACCTTCTGAGTTTGAGTAATGTTTAGGAAAGGAATAAATGTTCTAAAACCTGTATTTGCAAGCAAAGAAGGGCTTAGATTCTTTGCATTTTTTAAAAAGGAATAATGCTTATAATAGAGGATGCTGGTTAAATTGTTTGTCCAACCAGCAAATACATAAAATATGTGATAATACAATAGTCAGATCATCAAAAATCAAGGGGGTGAAAAAAATCCATTTGCACAAGAGCCACATTTCCAAAAAGGAGGCACTTGATCTAGTTGCTGGAGATACAACAAGCGTTTACAGATCACAAACTGTAAGGCGGGGAGGAAAAGAGACAGAGGGAATACTTGTGCAGTTGGGCATACCTAACAGCAAGAGAAACTGAGCAGTAGTGAAATGTCATGAAGGTTTCCAGAAAGATTCTATGGTCACCGCCAAAAGGCTAATTTGGTTTCCGATGATAACTACTCCCATTGCTAAAAGTACTTCAAATTGTCCTTTTAAGGTTTTATGCTTTCTATATTTATGTGCATAAATTTCGGTTGATCCTGTTCATATTTATGTCACTGTATTAACCCAAAGTTTTCAAAGGGTCACTTCCATCTTCACATAAGTTTCAAAGAGCCTGTTCATACCTTTATAGTAGATTAGCTGAGATATAAACATTGTGCTCTGAAGTAACTGTGGGCTAGAATGAAGCATTTAAAAGAATTCTTCCAATGTCTTACAAAATGGTTTTGTCAGGTTCAAAAGAAATTTGCAATATCTCAGAACTGTCATAATTTTCCCCCTCTGACAAAAATGTTTTGCCTTTCCTCATGAAATACAGCTCGCTGGGCTCTGTGCTTCCTGCCTGGCCTTTGTTGCTGGTGTTTACGCTATCTCGTGTCACACACAGTCACTTTATGACTAATTTCCAGAGCACTGAGTCACAGTTCGCCTGTTGCTTATCTTTTTTTTTGTTCCCACATGGCATTTTCTTGGCTTTCAGGTTTTTGTAATTTTTTAGAGAAATGAGCTTTTTCCATAATTAAATAATTCCACTTCTGTGGGAGTAGATTTTTTAGTTATATGATTTACTTGACTATTAGAAGGATAATTTAATATCATATTTACCAATAAATACAAAATAGTACATCATATATGTATATAATTTATTGCTTTAACGTACACATGTGCATAATATATACAGACTTGAGAAAAAATGCCCTATTTAAATATCTCAGAGCTTTTGTCTTTGGAAACATGTAAAACATTTTCTTAGAGACATTAGTTAATGCTGACATACGTTATTTAGATTACAAAAATTCTAATATTTCTTCTTCAGTTTAGACTGATAGGCACTGTTTAATGTAATTCTTCATAAGTTACTGAATGAAACTTAAAGGTAAACTAAACTTTCAGAAAACTCCAATTAGGCAGACACAACAACTAAAGAATCTACAATCTTGAACTACTACGATCTTAAAATGATTAAAGGGTTACATCTAACCAGCTACAGAGGACACTGTTTATGGTCTGAAATACAAAAACACTACTCACACATTTGCTTAAAAACTAAGCACAAAATACCAAGAACTTAATTTTGTGTTTCAATACAAGTCCACTTGGCTTATAAAGAAGAGCTGGTTTTTATTTTAGAAGAAAAGGTGATTGTCCACCTCCCTTCTATGCCGGCTTTTTCCCCCAAGAAAAGGAAAGAGAAACAATTTCTCACGGGCTAGATAGTAGATTCCCTAGTACTCACGAGTAAAATCTCTGAAGAAATTTCTTGGGAAGATTTTTTCCCATCGAGCTGGAGGTTATTCTCTGGTCCCCTTCCAGACTTGAAAATGAGGCTTTCTCTTCTCCACTTCTTCTTTTAAAGAGATCAAGAAACTGAGGATTGGAGAATAGTGAAGGAAGTGAAATCCGATCCCGCTGGCAGTGACGGGAGGTGGGAATTGGAGGATTGTTCAGCCCAAACTGTCAGCGCTGCGTGCATCTGTGCAGGGCGGGAGCCCTGGGGCCCAGCACTCCCAGCAGCTGGGAAGAGCCTGATTTCTGTGAGGTCACCCAGCTCTATTCAGTCTCCTTGTGCCAAGTCTTCAAAAGCCTGCCTCTTTTACCCCCTCAGTGGAGGAAGCAAATGAAAGAAACAGCTTACAGTAAAAGTTCAGGCACTATTGTACTTGGCACCTCAAAAGGGAATCTTAAAAGTTAGATTTTTTTTTTTAGAGACAAGTGGCTTCTCTAAAGTTCCCCTTCCAGGGTGAGAGGGGGCAAAGTTTGGGTCCAGGAAGGGCTGAAAACCAGCCCACGTGTATTGTTCATTGTATTCCTTGCTATAAAAGACCTTAGCACCCTTGTACCGGGTTCCATGGTGATGGGAGACAAATGAGATCCTCCACCTCCGAGATACCTTAGCATAAATCCTTTTTTCCTTTTTACCAAAATAAATGGCCTGCTAGTGGCCAGCAAAGAAATCTGAGTGGCTGGCAACATTATCATGCTTTTGTTTATTTGTTTATTTGTTTTTCTTTCTTTTTTCTTTTTTTTTGTCTTTTTGAGACAGTTCTTGCTATACAGTTCAGGCTGGCCTTGAGCTCACTTTGTAGCCCAGGCTGGCCTCAAACTCACAACAATCCTCCCGCCTTAGGATTCTAAGTGCGGGGATTACAGGCATGTGCCACCATGCCCAGCTAACATTATTATTATTATTATTATTATTATTTTTTTTTTGGTTTTTCTCCGGTACCGGGAACCGAACTCACGACCTTGCGCTTGCCAGGCAGGCGCTTTTGCCGCTGAGCTAAATCCCCAGCCCTAACATTATTATTTTTGAATAACTTCTTTCTTTCACATTCTAGAATTCTCTTTTAAGAAGTTTTAAAAAATGGTCCTCCCTCAGATGTATGTTTTTTAAAATTATATATTTACCAGTACATTGTTAATAAATGTTCTTCCTTTGCAGTTTATTTCTTATCTTCTTCAAATTGTTTCATCCGTATTGTCAGTGTATTCACACACACTCACAAAATAAAACCTAAAGACTCCTGGAGATCCCTCCTATTAGGAATAATGTAACACCTAGTGCAAAAGAAAAAAAAAAAAATCAAGCTGGGGACCCCACTTTAGCTACTTGGCCTGTACGATTTTGGCTAATTATTTAAAAAGACAAGATTACCTCTGCCTCAGTTTCTTTCTCCCTAAAATGACATAAAAGTTTCTAGGCTCGATGTAAATACTAAAGTGGATTAATATCTGCAAAGGACTTCAAACAGGTCCCAGCATGTAGAAGACCTTAATTAAATACTACGGTTATTGGCTGTTGCTCAGTCTATTATTATTTTATAGAACGTGTAACTATTTAGAGCTGTCACTCAGCCTCGCTGTACTGTAGATTCTTATCATTGCGGTTACCACCTGGCATTTCTGTCATGGACTTCCAGTCATGTCAGGCCAAGAAGACCGGAGGCTGATAAGAGACCGGAATCCGGGCCCTGATGGCGGAAGTCATTTGGGCACAAAATCCTCCAGTGCCTTGTTTTCTCCTTTTCAGATCCTTTTAGTGTTTCTCCCTTCTTGATTCTTTGCTTTGATGGCTGAGTAAGTGGTAATATTTCCTTCTGTGTGTTTTTAATATTTAACATTCGTATTTAATTCCCACACTAGCTTAGGGAGAAGAAGGTCCCTCAGCGGTTCCAAAAGGCTGCTCCCAGGTGTGGATTTCGGTCTCCACGTCTGCCCTCAGGGCACAGGTGCGGCTGTCCTCCTCCCGCAGGCTGCTTCCCAGCACTGTCGTGGTTTCATCCCAAGTTACCGCTTGTTTACCCTGAGCCCCGCGGCTCAGCCGCAATCGGAGCGCCCCTCCGCTCATACCGCTGAGTGAGTGGCTTGTTCCTTGTACTACAATGGGCATTGCTTAAACTTTGGGCCAGTTTATTGGGTCCACTCAGGCAGAGATAAGCTCAACCAACCCTATGTCCTCTTTTGGAAACTTGAGATAAGGTGGACAACAGCATATGCCAGATTCTTAACTAAAAAGTTGCACAATACTGAGCTGACAGCATAATGGTTGTGTGCAAAGGGTCATGGAGTGTAGACTAAGCTAGTGGGAGGGGGTAATGAAAAGAGAAAAGAGGGTCTGTAACCTCTGGGAGAGAACGGTGACGGCAAGGCAAGGGCTGGAAGTTAACGATGAAGGATCCATAGTGTGCTCCTCAGTAAGGGTTTCTTCCCCAAGCCTTGTTCAAATTTTCCCAGGTACCGAAAGATATGTGTTCTTGCATTAAACTCCCTTTCATTGAAAAGCCATTTAAAAATCCTCTTCTTTTTTTCTGATTATGTCAAGATCCCAGTGTGGAAGAGCTATAGCTGTATACCATACTTAAACTGCATTTAGCGTCAATGAAACTTTTCATGGTTTTGTTTTCCTGTAAATTGCAGACTTGTCTATTCCTGTGCTGAGGGGAATGAGGCGACTTGAAGTTAAAGTACTGAGAAAACAGCCCCATGCTTTAACTTCCAGGCTCTGTGAGTTCAGCTCTTCCCTCCCTGAGGCTTGTGTGAGATGTGTCCTGTAGTTTGATTGCTAGTTTGCCGCTCCAGTATTTGTAACTCTAAATCTAAACTATTTGCATGAATTATCTCAACAATAACGGCACTGTACCTTGAACTTCTCTATATCTAACTGTTCCTTACTACATTTCAGTACTTTTTTTCCATCTCATAAAATATGAGCAGCATTTGGGGCTCTAAATATGAGCTTTTACCTTTCCTAACCAAGATAGAAAGAGAATCTATTTCTTTACTTGGTCTACAAAGCAAGAGACATTACCTAATGTTATTCTTTAGGAGTACTATTTATTAAAATCTATCTAAGTTTTCAAAAAGGTCAGAAATGATATAATTGAGGTATAATGTGGAAGGAAATTATTCCCTTATTGTGAAAGAAAGGCTCAGGATGACAGGGGATTGAGAAAGAATGTAAAAACTTCAAAGGAGAAGCCTCAGTAAGCACAATAAACAAAATTTAATTTCATGACTTTAAACATTCATGTCATGCATGTTTACCTAGTTTAAAGTATATTAAAGGTTATGTATTTCACTATTTCATCTATCAAACAATTACTTTTCACACTAAGTGTAACCGTGAAGACCTCTAGTTGGATTAGGGGGTGGTGAATGTTGGGCTTCACCCTTAATCCTCACACTTACATTCAGTATCTGAGCACAGTATCTGTGGTTCACTTTTCTTGCCTTGATGAAATTAACATTTAAGGCCCTGCTGTTGCTCATACAACTTTGCTAATTTTCATCTACCACTGACTGCTGCCTATCACATACTTACTTTTGGGTCAATTCAGGCAATTCGTGTTTTCCTGCCCTCACTTCTTTCTTTCTCCCCAAGGGGGTGAGACTTGCGTGATTGCTTGTGGAGGATCCCAGGGCCATTTCCGGCCCTTTCTCCTGACCACCATAGTCATTGCAAAATGAAAGTTCATTCAGTCTGATTGTATCTGTTACAGTATAGCCAAGATGTGGAATTACAAATATGTTTTCACTTCAGATCATCGTTCTTGCAATGTGAAACCTAGCCTGTTAAGATTATCTTTTCTCCTGTCATTTGAAATATGCACTCAGCAAGTCACACAAAGCTTCAGTTCTTTACTCTTCACTTTATCTGCCTAGGTTAAAGAGTAAGAACAAGAAAGAAATGGAAAAATGAGTGAACAGTCTCAGTTCTTCCAACTATAGACCAGTAGATTTATTTTTAGCCAAATTAAATATCATGTTCATTTTAACAAGAGTTGAAATGCCTACCATTTAGTACGAGTTTGAAATCAGAATATCTGTATGAATAATTTATCACTACAGCATTTTAAACCATTAAGTATCTCAGTTTTCTTAATTTTTAAAAGACATTTTTAAAAAATATCCATCTTACAGAAACACGAACAATTAGATATTTGGCAAAAAGATAGTACATCCTGAACTTGTCTTTGTATTCCTCTCTGAGATTATGTTATTTATTCAAGCACATTCGCTGGCCCTCTCTGTGGGTTCCTCCTTGGTAACCAGTGAGAAGAATATATTTTCCTTCCCATTAATGTCAGGTTTTAATTAGTCCTTAGTCTACATCACTAAAGTGAGCAAATAGAATTAGCAGAAAAACATACGTAAGTGATAGCCAAGAAGAACTTTTACAAGCTGTGTGGACAGTTTCTGAGTTTGGTGTTCTATAATTTTTGTCCATTTTTCTCTGCCAGGTTGTTGTTATGTTTGAGATAAGGGCTATTCTTTCAAGCTGGATCATAATGAAGGGGAAAAGCAGAACCATGAAGGTGACTGAAACTGTACATTTTTTTAGTAAATGCTCTACAGATTTGAGGGTTGTTTGCTACCAAGCACGGGGTAGGCTGAAATAAATAACATACTCCTTCCCATCCTCTTCCCCTTGGAGATAAATTATCTCAACTATGGACAACTGGACTCACTGGACCATATGTCCTCCATCTCCTGGAGCTCCACCCTCTTTCTTGTTACCAAGTACTTAATTGCAGGATATGAAGTAATTTGTGAAAAATAGCTTCTAGAACTTTGCTTTGGGTAAGACCCAGTCTTGAACAATTATCTAGTCTTAAACGTAACTAGGTAAAAACATTAAACAACATTGAAATTGAACGAGGTTCCAGATAAAAGTCAGTTCTTCTTAAGCAATGTAGTAACAATAAAAAGGGTTTCAGGAATTTTATAATCCCATGCAAGATGACCCCAGCTGTAGGAAAATTCTGTTTTCAAACTACACTGAATTTGCATGGATATCAAAATAAATATATTCTTTCAATCTTGAGTATTGGAATTGTTATTTTTGTTTTATCTATCTACTTCATACTTCTTATTAGTCAGATAGTTCTTGCTAATTTTAAGCTAAGAACAGTTTTGAGAACTGCTAGTAACATGTGGAGCTACAAATCTCTCCTCAGAGTCTGAAGGTTATTCAGCCTTCACAGGAAGTTTCCCAAGAAATCATCATCCTAAACTAC